TGTGCTTTTAATAGTTCTAATTTTTGAGGAGTTAGCACCTTAAGACAGAAAGGTATCATAAATAACTAGTCATATTTATTCATTTACACTGTAATAGGACAAATAGTCAGGAATAAAGTATTTCAAATATTGTTTTAGGAATCCTGCTTAATTTTGTATGTTTTTCTAAAGAATTTTCAGTGGTAGTTACAGAAGCAAAAAAATCATTATATTAGTGAACTAAAAATATTCTGGGAAGATAACAGAAGCATTTAAAATGTCAGTATTTACTGGTAGAAGCAATACAGATGTTAAGCTGAATTGCCAAAAGATTTATCTCCTTTGTGGGGCAGGGGGGGAAGGAAAAGTGGTCTCACATAAGAGATAAAGAATTAGCATTTGGAAAAACTTAAACAGTAAGTGAGCCAACCCCAAAGAATCAAAATGAGCAATGCCAAACCATTTTTTTGAAAAACACATTAGATACATGTTCTCCAACAGATACCTGGGTACTGGTTTGAAATGAAACTAAGATCAGGAAAGATTCCCTGCCTTAAGCTCCATACTGCATGGTATTCTGTAAAGTTTTCTTGGGTATGGTTAATACAGCAAACTATCTACCAAGAAAAAGTATTAAAAAAAATTTCATCCACAACCTGTGACATATTCTAATTTATTCTACTTTTCTTCCACTTATCTGTACCCTGAAGTCCCTGAAAACTAATTCTAGTTATGGTACCGAGGCACATCTCCATTCGGAGTCTGGGATCCTTTGTTAGATGCTATATTTGTTTCCTAAGAACTATGTCCTGCATTAGTTTAAGGAAACAAGCAGTTATAGAAAGTGTCATCCAAGTTATCTTAAATGTTGGAGGTTTTGTTTGGTTTTTTGTTTGCCTTTAAGATGGGGAAAGCTGTCATCACAAAGAGAAACAAATACGTATTTTTCCAGTCACTTATCCCAACAGGTTTAGGCATCTAAGTTATCCTCCAGGGCAGATGATTCTCCCCATAACAGGAGAGTATGCACAGAGAGAGACTGAGGGACTCACTATTAACATAGCACATAAAAACAGGATTTGGAAGATTCAGTTAAACAAGAAAACAATCATTTCGTCCCATAGTCACTCTAGAGAAGAAACATTACTCAGATTGGGTGAATTTCAAGATATCTGAAATATATTCAAGCTAGGTATATACATGTCACATAAACAGAAATATAAGCATGGCCCTATTACAGGACTAAAATTCATAGTAAGTCCTGCCAGTAAATTATCTCACCTGCATCTTCAGTTTTTCCAGCTCTTGTGTTTTACCCAGCAACTCCTCTCGATATTCAGCAAGAAGAAACTGAAATTTGTCATGTACAGTCTGCTTTTCAACTAACAACCGCTTCAGTTCATCTTGTGATTTTGTATATTCCTCTTGTAATCTGCAAGATAAAATACATATTTATTTTATATTTATCCTTTAAAATAAGATCTTAAAGCTCAAAAAACTCACATGCAGAAGCAAACATACAAATATCAAGTTAGAACTAAGCTACTAATATCCTTTTCCTGTAATATACTGAAATGTTATCCCATATTTACAAGCATAAAAAATACTTCAGAAACCTAACCTGCAATGTCTTAAGGTATTTTGAATTGTTTATTTTCTAACATGAACAACACTCAAATCTGTTCTTAAATACAGAAATAGCTAACACACACACACACACACACAAATCTCTTCCATCTAACATTTAGCTTCACCTTTTAACAGCTCAAATGAAGAAACCTGTTTAAATTAGTGTACCTTAGATGTTCTGCCTTTATAGTTTGATAATTTGCTTTATGGTGTTCACATCGCATTTTTTCATCAATCAGAAGTTTTTGTAATTCTTGTGAATTAGCCATATCACCATTTCCAACCACAGGAGGAAGGAGACTGCCCAAAGCATCCATTTTATAACTGTTCACGATGAGTATGGAGAGCCCAAAATAAAAATTAACTTATAACTAATCTACAACGCCATCCACTTTTTCTGCTGACATCCCAGAAGATCAAGTCACCTGAACAAATACAAGGACATGTAGTTAGCAATCAAGTACATTCACAGTTCAAAGATTTCACACGCTGCTTTTGCTTTCAGTACAGAAGAATCCTGGCTCTGCTGTAACCCAGGTTAGAAACCTCTACTGAAAGGGCAATTCTTCTCTGCTCATTCTGCCTGCCCTGAAAAGTAACAGCCCTTCCAGGGGCACAGAATAAACTTGAATTTGGAGATTGAGTCAATACAAAATAAGCACAAGCACTTCTATCTGACAGATTACTTATGCTGTACACTGAGAATCAAACTATGATGCTAGTAATGCCCTAATTATGCCTTGTTAGCCAGAGTTCAAGCAGAGGCCAAAGAGATCAGACATATACAGCTTTTACTGCTAGTTATCACCATCACAGTCTGTCACACTATCCTAACAAGCTGTACTACTCAATACACCATCATTTCAGCTGGAAGAAGAGCAGATAATTCTCACTTTTGAATTCCTGTCAAGCCCTCTCTGGAGAAGAGTTAAGGTTTCATGGACAGTCTGGAAGATACCTGCCCAAAGTTCAGCCCTGAAATATGTCCTTGATACATGTCACTTCCTCATTTTCAAAGTTTACTTTGTGGTTTCTTGTGACCTTTCCAGAAAGAGTTTTGCTAAATGTGACAATATCAGATTGGTGTGAGAAAGCTGCAAATTGACAGATGCTGAGAAATGAGGAAGCATTCTAATATGCCTCATTAGTTCTTTTCGATATTAGAAGCAAGATGTATTAATCTGATCATTACTGACACTTCTAAAGGATCTGGGGGAGGGAGGACTATAACTGAATTTTAGGGAAGTTACAAAGCTTTGAAACCAACTATTCTGCCATTTTAGCATTTGGCATAACTGGACTGATGCCTAAGAACTCCATGGTTGCAGTGTACAAAGTGTAATTCAAAGTTACAAAGTGTAACTTTGTAAAAAGTAAAACTCAAACAGAAAAACTGCAAATACCTCACCTTCTTTACATATACAGTCAAATAGATAATGTTTTCTACCATTCCAGTCTTTAAATCTTTCATGGATCTATCTTAAACACTTACCATTTAATTTTATAAAACCCTGAACTATAACCAAGATGAAAATCTGTATTCCATATAGGAAAATAGATGTTGCACATCAGTGCCCATTCCACCAAAAGACATAATAATGTCAAGAAAGTCTTACATTTATGTTTTCTTTCCCATTTTTCCTTCCTCCACCACTAAGATGGGAAAAGGTCAGAGGAAAATCTACCAGAGTTACAAGATTAGTATAAGCAAAGTGACAACAGCAACTTTGTATTCTTCGTTACCCAAATTTGCTGAAAGAATAAGAGGGAAGAAATCAGAATAAAGAACATTCTCCTCAGTGACTGTCCTATATGCACAACCAATTTCAAACATTAATAGCACAAGTTCTGAAGAACCTTCTAATCAATACAGTACCTACTTTTCATTCCTGAATTTTGTTGGTTGTTGAGAAACAAAGGACAACAGCAATTTCCAAACTCAATATGAAGACATTTTCAATTGTTAAACCAACAGCTGTATGAGGAGAATTGGTCAGTGATCCTAAGGACAATAAACCATTTGAGAGGACAGAAAGTTCTGGTACACAGAGAAAACCCAAGGCAGCACATCCCTAAGAATTTCTAAGCATACCAACAGGGTTATCATGATCACTGGGGGGAAAAAAAAAAAATAACAAAAACAAACAAAAAAAACCCCAAAACACAATACACCCACAACCAAACACAAAAAAACCCAAAACACCAAACACACCACACCAAACCAAAAAACAACCACAAGGCAATAGTACTTTTCTCTGTCTCAGGTCTTTGCTTTCATAAGCTACAGATACCAAACATAACTATCAAACTGTAAGCCAAAGCTCAGAATTAGGAACACAGGATTTAAAGTTGGGTCTGAATCCTGCAGCTTACTTGAGTAAGAAGTATTTCTGAAGTGGCATAACAGATATAAAGTCAAAGACACCAAAAAACCACAGCATTTTCTGAGAGCAAATCAACCAAAAGAAAAAGATAAATGGAAATGCAACCTTTTGTACTCTCAATTCCAAGCTGCTGCAAGTGGGAAGTATTTTCGCTCCTCACAGCTTTTGCTACTACCAAAAAGTGCACAAATTATAAAGCAAGACATACATCTGGTCATCTGCATGAAGATTGATGAAAAAGAAAAAAGGAAAGAACAGAGGGAAAAAATTGTAGCTTACAAAACAATTGTTTCAGACTGCAAAAACCTAAGCAGTATATATTTAAGGAAACAAAACTATTTTGGCTTGCAGGGACATCTAGTGGCAAATTTCATTATTTGCATTCCTGGTGACAACTGTGGAACAAACTACAACAACAGAGATTTCATTACTTCACGAGAGCTCTTTCCTTGAAATCATTAATAGCAACTTGTAATATTTAACCTACTCACATTCTTAGAAATAAAAAACTTTTTTTCCCCCCAAATCATAAAATAATTTCTGGCAGTGAACTATCAATAATCAAGATCGTTTAGGGCTACAAATATCTAGGGTATATTACTAACAAGAATTTCTTCTGTGCTAATGGCTTACAGTACTTGCTCATAGTCAATGAACAGACCTTAAATAATCTTCAAAATTACACAAGACTACACCCATAATTTTTGAGAAATACTTTAAAGGAACACTAGTTAAAATTTCTTCCTCTCTTAGAGAACTGTTCAAGAAGTAGAGAACGATAAAACATACTTGAAACAAACTAAAACAGCATCATATCTAAAATAAATTCTCCACCTATATATTTGCCAAATTTTTTCATGTTACAGAACTGCAAACTTGTATCAGTTGCCCCAAATTCATACTATGAAATCTTAACATCATTTTGTGCAGGTATACATATAAAGGTACTGGTACAGAGTCCTGAAACCTAGGAAATGCACACTCAGCAGCTAAAACAGCAATATTTATTGTAGAATAAATATCTAGCTAAGTGAAGTAACTCAATTACACTTCCAAGAATCACCTTTGTTTTGCCTTTCTTCTCCAATTGTTTATTTTCATACAGAGAGAAACATTGCTTAAAGACCAACTTCACATCTCTCCTTTATATCTACACATCGTTGAAAGGGCTTTTCTTCTTTTACAGGATTTTTCAGCTATATTATTTTTACTTTTTGTTTGCTACAAGCACTTAAAATGGTAAGAATACTTGCAGTTAGAGAAAAATATGAAGATATAATTTTATTTATTTATATTACAATTTTTATTTTATGTTGTTTACAACAACAAGGCTTCCTTCTAGCCTACCCGGCATAACCAAATTACATTATTTCAGCATGTATTGAGTGACATACATAATTCACTCATGGCTCTGCTTTCCATACCACAGCCACACTTAAAACACATAAATTTATCATATTTGAACACAGTTTTAAACAGTTAGATGATAAAATGAATGTAATTTTGCAACTATTGATGAAAAAACTAACTAGTATTTAGCCTTGTGCCATGTTTTGTTCAAGCCAAACAGCTGTTTCACACAATGTATGGTTTAACCCATTTGCCTGCTTCTGTCAGAACTCTAGACCT